CTGGACCGGCATTGAGATCGCCGTGTAAAAATGTCCCCCGGTACGCAGCTGTTTCACCAATACGGCACAATTTTCTGGTTTCCTGGAACCGGCGACCGCGTCGTGTGGCAAAATACCGACGCTCCCCTCTCGGATCTAGGCGCTCCTCATAGACGGTTTTCTCGCATCAGTTACGTAGCTTTTGGTGATGCTTCTAAAGTGTACCGCTTGTTTTCACTGATTTTCTAGGTTTCTCGTAGTGAATATCAGCCGATGATAGAACATAGACCTGGTTCCCGTTGTCGGTTGATTTAAATCCCTCTCCACGCTCAAAATAAGAGCTGGTGGGCATCGGGGTCACAGGGCACTGAACAAGACCTCAGCCAGTCCACTCACAAATCGACTTTACTGCTGTCATCACAGCTGCATCACCATCCAAAATGTTTATTTCCGCCGTCAATCGCGCCACCCCAGCAACTTAAATCATCCTCACACTACACACAACTCGGTCGACTGGGGAGATATGTCAATCAGCATTCTCTATCTCCACACTAATTCTAACCAGGCGAAGCACTGCGGAAGAGCGAGAGCGACGCATTGGACGCCGGCCTGAGGTAACATCACGTGGCCACGAGCCTGCTCACCTCCCCTAGGCCAGGGTCAACTGTCGTCCCAGACTAGGCAACACCACCACCGCTGCGGGGCCAGGGCCGGCTTAGTGCAGCCGCACAGCCCCTCCCGTCGGCCCAGGTCAGCAGCCACCTCACCCCGGGCGAGGCGACACCACCAACGACGCGTTGCTGGGGCCCGGCTTAGCGTCGCCACAGCCCTGCCGGCCATGGAGCTGACACCGCTTAGTCAGCTGTTGGTCGCAACAGGTGCCAACAATTTGTCTGTCTTACACAATGAGCTAGACACCAGAGGCTCGAACAATGCATCGAAGCCCTGTCTATGGAAACACGGCAAACACACGGGCGTGCCATGGCGCAAACGCTGACGTGATCTCGGTCCACGTGTAAGCAAACGCGCAGGTCGACGATTAGTGGTGAGTAGGACGCGACCGCCCAGAGCCTGTTTGCTCGTGATAAGGCCAGTGCCCACACGCCCGGGACATCCCGGTTTCGATGAATGCCAAGTGGCGAGTGGGGTGGCGAATTCATAACGCTGGCTGCTGGCTTGACCTTTTGACAACGAGGAAGGCCAGTGGAACGGAAGCCATATTTTGGCTCTCAGGAAACAACAAAGTATATCGTAACTTGGCCGCTCCGCCGTCATGAGGCCAACCCGAACACAGGCAACACATATTTGCCGCTGCTTGAT